GAAACAGGCAGCGAGTACAAGTTGAACTTATTAATTGTTTAAATAAATATGCCGCTCGTTTTTTTTTTTTTTTTGAATAAGTTCCTATATACATAAGTAAATTAAAAGGAGTTTCACTTTTTCATTGCTTATTCATATGCTGATAGCAAAAAAAAAATAAATATAAAAAGTTCAAACAAAAAATAAAATACGCGCGTGTATGTATTTAAATGTAATTGCTACAAATGCGATCATTTTTCTTATAACTGCGTATATGTATGTACATTAGACCATACCAGACCAAAATATGTTCGCCGTACATCTTCGAATTAAAAGTACTTTTTTGTCGCGAAAATAACATTTTTTTTGTATACCAAAATTCATTGACCGCAAGTACCCCGTTCTAGTACTTATCCACCAGGTTTAAGTTCTCAACCGCTAACGTGCCACCCTAATGTCAGTAAATTAAGCTCTCAAAAAATCATCAAAATGTTGCTAATGATGTATTCCGATTGTTCCAGTAGAACAATTTTTTTTTTTAATTTTTTTTCCATCTGCGGGTGTCACCGAAGGACTACAAACATTCGACCAAAAAAAAAAAATGCGAAATTGCCTTGCAAAAATACTTTAGACTCAGAGTGTACGGCGCCATTTTTTTTTTGCTTGTAAGGTGGTACGGTATAATGTACATACATATATTAATTTATCTTCTACTGATATGAGGTTCAATGAATGATCATTTTCATTAAATCGTCACGCTCTTTTTGCTCGAATTAATATTTGTTTATTCCAAAGCTATTTTTAGTTGTATAAATATTATATAATTTTATTGCACAGTAGTTTAATAAATACTACTATGGGCACTAATTAATTTTATGGGCGTATTCACGCCACAGCTTCTCGTTGATGGATTGCACCATAACCACCAAATCATTGTTGAGCGAATACGCTTCACCAGGTTATGTGGACAGGCGAGTCAAAATGAGACAAGTAATTTTTAAGCAAAAAACAAAACCGACTTCAATTCTCATATAAAAATTTAAGATTATCGTTAATTTCTTCACGATCCAATTATTGAATCTAAACAAAATTAGTATGGGTAGCATCTTTCCGATAAAAAAGAATTATCGAAATCGGTTAACGTGGTCCAAAACAAAAAAATAATATTCCGACGAACTGATAACCTCCTCCTTTTTGTGAAGTCAGTTAAAAACAAGCGCTTGCCCATGCACTCCGGTGCGCTCAGCCTTACATTTCCCACCTAAACTTACTAGTACATTTTGCTGGTTGTGGTGGCTAAACACGCGAAAGATAGTCAGGGCTATTACTGAATCCGTCGTAGTCCGAATTTTCGTGAAATTTACGTAAATTCTTTTACTAAATCCGAATAGTTATGAACGAAGCATACACTTTGAATGCACACATTCGTAGCAGTTCGGATTCAGTGATCGAATTTTCCTGTATTTTACGAAAATCAGACTACGATTGTTTCAGCGATAGCCCAGATTGAGTCAAAAGCCAACCTGGCAATAAGCGATGATCACTGCAGTTCTTATTAGTAAAAAACCAGAGATAACCTCCCTCAATATGGATAGCCCTGTAATCAGATCGGTATGCCAGCTGAAATATCTTGGTGTTTTATTTAATTGATGGCAGAATCAGCTTTGGACCGCATGTGGCATATGTACATTATTGTATTGTATGTATATTATCCTATCGCTGCGTAGGCGTAGGCGTAGGCGTAGGCGGGACTAATTTGCGCTATGATTGGGAACTTTACAAAACGGGACAATTAATCTATACGCCGACATCAAGAAAGCTAAGAGATATTCTTGGCTATTGGACAAAGACTAGTGAACAGTCATTTGAAAGCTCGCAAATCTCCGTAGAGCATGACTAATCCGCATATTAGAAACACGATTCCCCATGATCGCCTATCGACAAGCTCAAAATGCGTGAATTAAGAGTAAGCTGGTTGAGACTGCCCTTGCATAAAGACTTCGCTATGGCTGCCTTGTTCGACATCGATAGCTCTTTTAACAATGTTCTTCCAGGGGCAATCTTCAGATCCCTTGGTAGGCTTGGACTCAAAAATCGCCTACTTAAGCTCATATACCGTATGTTCTGTGACAGCACTGTCGTGGTGGAGTGGGGTAGGGCCACCTTCTAGCGTAGAGTAAAGAGGGTTGACACAGGGTCATATTCCCTCGCCCCTTCTTTGGATTCTGGTCTTAAACGGCCTGCTAGAGGTTTTGGTGAGTAAAGGTTGCCTGGTGTTGGTTGCCTATTCAGATGACATTGCGTTTTTAGTGATCAGGTGATACGAGAAGTGAGGAAGCAGCAGGCCTCTAGTGTCTTTGCTACCGGGGAAAGGAGAGTTTTATGGATATAAGGCTCTCCTTAGTTGTCAGGTTTCTCCAGGTTCAGCTGTTGGACCATGCTCCCCGAATTCCATCCATCGGGAATGATGGGAGTGGAATATTGAAGACATTGGTTAGGTAGTCTACTCCCGCTGGACGCAATTTTATCAGCATGGGCATGCACATTTCATCGGAAACAATTGCTGTTGAGCTATGATCTTACGGTTAACCAAAGCTTACTTACACTCCCAGCTAGTTGCAAGTCTTCAGGTGCTCCTCCAACTTCTTCTGCTTACGTTGGTCTACCAGTTGCAGAGTTTGTATATTGAGATCCCAGATACAGGCATTTCCGGGATCACCGCTCGTTTGCAAGAAAAGTCGCTTCATCTGGGAAATTAGGGCGGGTTTCCACAATGCATCCAGCAGGAATGAGGCGGGCTGTAGCTGCAGTGACAACCTTACGGAATTTGGGTTCACCTGCATGAAAGTCTGTAGGTGTGGAAAGAACGACGAAGGTGGACTTGGTAACTTCCGCAAAGCCGTTCCGATCAGCCTTATTAAAATTGATGTAGGTTCGGTATTCCGTGGAAGCAAAGTTAACAGGTTTATCGATCGAGACGATTGTGGGCAGATAAGCTGATGCTAAGGCAATCATAGGTGACCACGTTAAGCGGTTTAATACAGCAGCAATTAAGATTGTTGTATCGAGTGAGCTGCTGGAGCTACCCATAATCCTGGTGGGTACGTCGTCCTTCGCTCGCACAATCTCGAATAGTCTATCTAATGCGCCAAGTGTATTTCCCTACGATCGTTCGGCAGGCATAAACACCAAAGATCGTTGTGCACGTTCCCATTGTATCCGGCGCAGATCAACAATGTTGAATTGCTGCGCAACTTCGCCTCTTGGAGTGCAGATACCAAGAGTCAATGCCGATCCATGAAGACGGTTATCTCCTCGATCTTGGTCTGGAGTATGTGTCCATTGCAATTAAATTGTAGTGTCGTTGTGTGCCTATGGAGGCTGATTGATGCTGTTGTTGTAGCTTCTACTAAGCCCCGCTCGGGTCGGCTCATCCATCAACGTTGGCGTCTGTTTCAGCTAAGGGGAGGCCCAGGAAGTGCGCGACTTCAACGGGATCTGTCCATAGGGGCAGGGGCGTTAGCTGGGTGGGGTTCTGGTGGCATGCGAAGAGATGTCATGTGGCGACTCTATGCATGCCGGGAATTGGTTGGGCACATCCTCGTTTATTCTGCTGAGGTATGAGTTAAATCTGCTGCAATATCCAGAGCAAAGTTGCGCTATTGTGGTGTTGGGAAGCTGATCGCAATGCGGGTGTGAGTGATGTGTGTTGCGGCAGCGTGTGTCTGGAGGTGTGGTTGTGTTATGTTGGGTGGTGGGTGGAGGCTGTCTGGGCGTTTGATAGGACCGGTACGTGCGTTGTGTGTTGTGCGTCAATTTCGTGTTGTTTGTTAGGCTAGCACAGCACGGGACCACAAACGACATAGTCCACTTTCGGTAAGTTCTGAGGCCTGAGCAGGTATTGCACCTAATTGCTCGAGTCATTCTGTCGTGGGAATGCTATCGCCTAGTGCAGTTTCAGCAATTATTGTTTGGAGCAGGGTTTCTACCCATTTACAAATAAATAATCACTTTTACCCCCCTGGGGTTGGAGATTACTCGCGCCCTCCTCAGCGCTTATGGAACATAAGCTGACGCAAGACAACCTCACCTGATGTGGCAGAAGACGATGTATTGTGGAATAAAACCTTTACCGCCCTACATGACTGAGCAGATGCTAGGTATATACCGCTGGAGCTTGGCGCAAATCTGACTGACTACAGGATGCAGGCCTCCGGAAAGTGAATGGGAAAATGGTAAGCAGAAAAATTACCCTCTCTTACTTGCTATCTGAATGGGTAGCGTGGCTAGTTCCGATTCCCCTGCTCCTCTTGCTTATTCTTTCTGTAGCCTCAAGAAATATACTTCGTTTGATCTCCAGGCCTTTTCCTAAACTCTTATCAGTCGCATGTGCATCATTGCAAGACAACTCCATATTTGTTGTAAAGTGTTACTTTGTCTTATCATTGCTCTTCGCATTCTCCAGTTCCTCTACTACGTATGCCAATGGCCTCGAATCTTTCACACAGTATCATTGATAGGAGTATTCAAGTTTATGAAAACTATTTCCCTCTTCTTGTGGATTGTTTTTTTTTTAGGGATTTGGGTAGGTTTGCCGGTTTCATTGTAATGGTCTGATTATGGCAACTTAACGTAACTTACGGCTCTCTCTCAAAAATTCTGTTACATGGGTGTTGCTTATAATTGAACAGCCGAAACTTAACGTAACTTAATAGCGCTTCGAAATCTGTTTCATTTCGATTCTCTAAGTTCTACGTTCCGTTAAGTTAAGCCGCCATAATCAGGCTTTAAACCATCGCCAGGTTATTCCTCTTGATTGTTTTAAACAAATTTTTAAGTCACAACGTCAAAGTTTTAATACATACACTTGTTTTTTTTTCACCGGAAGCTAGTGGAAAGGTGAACGCTAAAAGGCTAAAAAGTTGCCACGTATATTATAGAAATGCATTGCGATTATATTGCGCAATATTCTGCCTCAATTCCTTGCACTGACAAACAGCTGATCGACTGTAATAAGTTTCTGATTGGAATGCAACAAAGGCAAGAAAAAATTTTCGCTAGCACAACAGATTGTAAAATAAGCAAATTTTCACCGTAGAAAAGTAATACGGTAATAAAAAACTCCAAATTGGGTAAAAAAAACGACATGGCCGCGGTGGAGTCCAATTTACCGGAGCAACTGGATAATGAGGAGGTGCGTGAAATACTCAAGAACACCACAGATCTGCGACAGTATTCACGTCAAATTGAGAAGGAGTTCAAAGATGTGGAAAACAAATCTATTGAAGACTACATTGCAGAATCTCAAAATATAGCTAGTCTTCATAATCAAATCGGTGAATGTGATGATGTGCTGGAGCGTATGGAAAACATGTTAATGAATTTCCAAAGTGTGCTTAGTAATATAAGTACCGAGATTACGCAGCTGCAAAAGAAGTCTGTAGCCATGTCGGTGCAACTAACAAATCGGCAGTCGGTGAAAGCGCAGCTATCGCAATTCATTGAAGATATGGCGGTGTCGGAAGAGATGATTGCGATTATTATGGAAACGCCGGTGACGGAAAAAGACTTTGGCACACAATTGAATGTGCTGAATCATAAATTGTCATTGGTGAAAGAGCTGAGTTTCAAAGAGTCCAAAGCGACAGGAGATGTCAGTGAAGTGTTGCATAAATTGCGCTTGAAAGCTATGTCGAAAATTAGAACATACCTGCTGGAACAGATTTACAAATTCCGCAAACCGATGACAAATTACCAAATACCACAAAATGCAATGCTAAAACATAAATTCTTTTTCGAATTTATTTTGTCCAATGAGCGACAAGTAGCACAAGAAATTTGTAGTGAATACATCGATACGATGAGCAAAATCTACTACAGCTACTTTAAGGTAAGTGGAAAAATATGCTATGAAAAATTGCTGTACATA